ACTACTTTTTTCAAATTGCTGAAAAAAAATCAAAAAAATTTTGATTTTTTTCCGAAAAATTGGTAAACGATATACTATTGTAACGATACACCCCGTTATGCATCGTTTCCGGCCAAATATCCGCCGGATGCCGCCCGACCGATCATCTGTTGGGCGATGAAAAGTGCGGTGCACCCACCCTTTTTTTTAAACGTGTCATCTCGGGATAAAAAAACCGGTTTTCTTTCCAACCTTTAAGACTATAATTTTGAAACATCTATTTCTGACTTCGGATTTGTGTTCAGCGACCAAAAAATAACAATATAATACCAAATTATATTAAAATTCAAATATTTTTTCGAATTTAAACATATACAGTGTACAAAAAATCCCGGAACGCCTGAATATCATGGAAAATATAAGTTTTACAGAAAAGTTTCAGATCAAAGTTATAAAGCTCGAAAAGATCTATTTATTGATCTTATTGGTTTGATCTTGGGTGGCGTCGCCAAAGACAGGGTAAGATCACTTTAAATTTTTTTAATGAAACCCTCCATTTTTTATTGCATATTCTTGTAGCTTATTTCGAGAGCTTTCAAAACACATAGATAAAATGTTTTTTGGTTAAGTAAATCTCGAGTTATAAAGCTTGAAAGTTACAGTACTACCGGTATTAGCATTATCCAAAGTGTCATTATCCGAATAATGGCTGAAATCTTTTGAATGTTGTTTAGGATTATGAGCTTGACAACATGTGTCAAGGTCATGATTGGAGGATATTTCTCTTTTTTTAAAAAAATAAAAATAATTTTCAAAAATAAAAATAAGAAAAACAATCTCCAATGATCATGACCTTGGCACAAGTTGTCAAGTTCATGAGCCTGAACAACATTTAAAAGATTTCTGTTTGGACCCCTTAGATAATGCTAATGTCGGTGGTAATTTCCAACCCTTATAACTCGAGAAGTAATAGAGAATAAAAAAATATTTTATTATAGTGTTTTGGAAAGCTCTCAAGATAAGCTACAAAAATATGCAATAAAAAATGGGGGTACTATTTAAAAAATTTAAAGTGATTTTACCCTGTTTTTGGCAACGCCACCCAAGATCAAACTAATAAAATCAATAACTAGATCTTTTCGAACTCTACAACTTTTGTCTAAAATACTTTTCTGTAAAACTTATATTTTCCATGATATTTAGACGTCCCGGGACTTTTTGGACACATCAATATAAAAAAAATGATACATCAAAAAAATGTATAAACTTTCTAATTTCAAAATTGAGGGACAACCTAAAGATATTAATGGATTTCGATGAAATGTTACTCAGACCATATTAAAGTCCATAGCTAATTTTTAGGAGGTATTGCTAATCGATTTTCAAAAATTTATTTTTTCGTTCCATCCTAATATATAAGATGTTCAGCATGAAGTGTTACTAGTTTATATCTTTGAAAGTACACATCATAGCAGAAAATGTTTCAGACAATAATTGTTTAGCTTGAAGGAGGTCAAATAATAGTTAAATTAATTTTTGAGAAAAAATCAAATTTTCAAGGTTACATGAAGATTTAATTTCTTAAATGGAATGCCCTACACTTGATAGCAGATTCTTATAATTGATATCGATACGTCTCTAAAATAGTATAATAAACTCTCTTCCGTTAAGAATTTAAAGTCTAACAGTTACGTCTTTAAAGTTACGTTAGTGTTGATTCTAAAAAGTGTATCAGGTGATAATGATTGCGAGGCTTAATTCATACTTCGATTTGTTTTCTATACGCATCTGTATGTAAATGTAAGTGAAGATGCTTGAGTCGCCGTGTCTCTCATGTTCCAAATACTTGATTCGCGTGATTGACTCACGTTAATCAAACACACCCATAAACGCGAGAGGCAAGGTGACCCACGCTAATCAAGCTCATCCGTTTACATTTGTATAAAGATACGTATAGAAGTGTGAATTAAGCCTCTCAATCCTTATTATCACCTGATACGCTTTGAATAATGTCAACGCTAACGTACCTATCTTTAAAAACTTATAAATCAATAAATTTTTAAATGAAGAGGGTTACATTATATCATTTTGGAAACACCTGTGAGCTATAAGATTTTGCTATTAAGAGTAGGGCATTCTATTTAAGAAATTAATAATGACTTTCACGTAACCTTGAAAATTTAATTTTTCTCAAAAATTAACTTAACTATTTTTTGACCCATTTTAAGCCATATAATTCTTTCTGAAACATTTTATGCTATAATGCGTACTTTCAAAGATATTAGTTTATAACACTTTATATTGAACATTTATATAAACGTACATATATTATACGTACGTATATTATATATAATATATACATTGTATATTTGTATCAATAGCTATATAAATTGTAAACAATAAAAATATGATTTTATTTCCATAGATGGAAAACTTTATATTTTATGTATTTGTTAGAGAAGTTCTGTATTTAAATCTTTCATAACATAACTAAATATAATAAAATAAAACAATACCTTTTAAAAGAGATAAATTTCATACAGTTAATACATTTATGGCTTCTAATCAGAATTTCAAAATTAACTTTATTACAAAAAAGTTTTAAAGAACAAAACGTACAAAACGTACCATGAGTTTTTGGCCCTCGGTGAAATTGGCTGAAACTTTAATATGTATAGTTCTTGACTTACTTTACTGATTAAGTTTTCTGAGTCACAAAAATTTAAAATAGCTATTCTTTTTGTTACAACATTTTGAAATGTTGTATTTTATTACAACATATTGTATCATTATTTATGTTCCAAATTAGTTTTTTTTTGTAATACATTGAGAGTTTAGATAATAATATGCAATTTACTTACATATTTGAGAATAGTGTGTATGGGAGAATATATTTGTAATGTGTGGGAGGGAAGAGGGAAGGGGGTAGTATGCTATATTTAGCTTTAAAAGCACATATTTCAAACAGCGCGCGCGCAATTAGGTTTAAAAACAAATTGCTAATTCTGCTGTATTTTTTGACTTTCTTCGCTCATTTCATTTTTTCTTGATCTCGTAGACCAAAAGTAGACTTAATATAGTAGACCAAAAAGTAGACTTAATATAGTCATAGAACACTAGAAAAAAGTTTAAATATGTGAGAAGCAAGCCCAGCAAACACCAAGTTACATGTAACGTACTTCTTAGTTGTAATTTCTCTCACAACAATATAATTATAATGTAACACATATGTTATATTATAGTTATATATTGTTGAGTGGGAAATTAACTTGGTATTTGCTGGGAGGAGATTCACGTAAATCAAGCATCTCATACGAGATGAGCGAAGGAAGTCACAAGAATCTACAGCAGAATCAGCAATTTATTTTTAAATATAATTTTGTATATGTGTAAACCAATGGGTGGCTGAATAAGTGAGTGAAAACAAAATATATGTACATTTCTTATTGTTACCCTATTGTTTGAAATATATGCTTTTAAGCTAAATAATAGCATATAACTATCCCTAGCTCTCTCTCCCACACACACTATTCTCAAATGTTTAAGTAAATCGTATATTATTATTTAAACTCTGGATTTATTACAAAAAAACTGATTTAGAACATAAATAATAAAATATGTTTGAAACGACCGACCTTCCAAAACGCGGAGTAGCTCGTTAAAATATTCCAGAGTTTGGAAGTGGTTCAGGAGAAGGAAAAAAGGTCTCGATAATAATGTACGCGAGATTTATACAATAACAAATAGACAATTTATTACAACAATTAGTGCAAATTACTACAGTAAATAGTATGACTTTGAAGATTACAATTATTAAGCAGGATGCTACAACTCACGGAAACACGAACGCATTTTACACGAACGAGTATACACCTCGCGCCAAAATTAATGGATCATCTATTCTGGTCGCTAAAAATAGGCAAATTTCAAGAGAGTGTAACTTCGTCAAAAATGATTGTAACAGAATGATTAAAGAAGCATTTTACAGCTTAAAGTCTCTACATTCGAAATCCATAATTCTTTAAATGACTTACTGACTCTTTACAAAGCAGCACAGATGCAAATGGAGATGCATCAAAATTAAAAATTTTTTAATAAATTTGCGAAGTTCCATGGAGTGAAATAAAAATCGCATACATTCGACTTACAGCGTTTGAAAGCGTGAATCTTTACCTTTAATTTGTGTACTCGATCAGCATTGTACGATTTTTTTTTCACCGAGTTACTCAACATTAGAGTAAAAAGGACTATTTTTGCTTTCGTATTGAATAACTCGGTAAAAAAAAAATCACACAATGCTGATCGAGTGCACAAATTAAAGGTAAAGATTCACGCTTTTGAGCGCTGTAAGTCGCATTTGTATGCGATTTTTATTTCACTCTATGGAATTTCGCAAAGTTTGTAAAAATACAACACTTTAAATGGCTGTAACAAAAAAACTAGTCATTTTGAACTTTTGTACCTCAGAAAACTTATCAGTGAGTCAAGAACTATAAAACACTAGTAAGTTTCGGCCAATTTCACCGAAGGCCAAAAACCCATGGTTTTGTGCAAGGTCCTTTAATATTGCAAAAGAATTAATTTTCAATCTTAATTATTTAGAATTTATAATTCAATCTTTATTATTATATATTATCTGACGTGCAGGCTTATGTTAGCATTCAAAAATTTGCATTTAGATAAAGTACCTTGTCTGTTTCAAAATATTAAAAGAATTCATAAACTATTGTTATCTTTTAACTTTAATTATTACATAATTAAGATTAAAATGTATCATTAGATTAAAATTTTTTTTAATTTTAATTTTAATTATGCAATAATTAAAATTGAATTATACTTATACAATTTTGTTTATATTTTAATTAAAATGTCTTAAAAATGTTGTTTTAATGTATAAATTTTACCTATTAAAAATCTTAAAAACAAATGTGTATGAATATTTTCGTGATTTATTCATTTAATAAATTATAATTAATATAGTTCTATGTTTGCATAGTTATATTTGAGTAACTAGAATATACCTCTAATAATGGTGTCATCATTACTAATCCTTTTACCGCCTTTTCCAATATTATCAAACTATTTCGAATTTCTGCCAGAAGATTGTTATATCTTTCTAATTCTTGAATTATTACCGTGTTCATTGATTCCAAATACACAATCGGATAATACTTTAGTGCCTCTTCAATATTAAATAAGTCAGGTATTTTTTTATATATATCTTCTTTCATATTTATTAAAATTTCATCTTGCTTCGAAATATCACCCATGATTATAGCACCCTGTACTAACGTCAAAGAATTGAACAAATTCGCTGCAAGCTCGAGATTGCGAATTATGCTTGCATTTACATGGAGACCAAATACTTCTGGCGATGGATTCAAAGGAATCAACTCTATCTGTTTCACATAGTCCTCGTAATTATGTCTGTAATTTATAATTAATTTGTTTATAAATAAAGATTTGCATAATATATTTAAAATGCCTTAAAAATTATATTCTTAATATTAATGTATTTTTTAATTTTTAAATTCTTCTTCCTTCTTTTTTTACAATTAAAAATTACCTTTTATATTTTACGTTTATTACTTAAAGTAACCAGTTTAAAGTTTATTGGATTGAAAAAAATTCGTTGGATTAATATCAAATTCGTGTATAACAATTTGTTGTGCTTCACGGTCAACAAAATAGAGAACTTTATGGGCTCGGGCCGTCTAAAGGATTAGGACCCACAAACATTCACAGTAGGAGTACGTGAAGATTTCGAGAAGTCTCACACTTTCACTTTATTCCCCTTTTTACAAATGATTCATTTATGATGATATGTTTCCCGGTATCACTTTCGCGTTCGCGGCGGGTATCTTGCCGGCGCTCGATGTCGCGTAACTTAATATCGCGAACGCATAACGTGTTGCCGATCCTTCGGTCTTAAGAGAATGCTGAAAGGTCGCAATTACCGCCATATTGTAGTCGTAAAGATTTTTTCGAAATGACAAAACGGAATTGAAAACCCTTTCACAGAATTGAAATAGACAAATATATTCGGGAGACAAAGGAAATTGTAGTAACAACGAAAAAAAATTGAAAACTGTTTTCACCTGATATATTAAATATGTATTTCATTAGTGTAAAAGTTCTGTAGCTCATATGTACAAAATGCTTACGTTTCCTGAATCGGAAAAAATATAAAGGAAAAAAAAAACAAAAAATACAAAGCCTTTTGAGCTATGATTGAAAGCCTAGAAAAAAAATCCTTACGACTGCAATTTATGGTAATTCGTAAGCTTAGCTAAGATAGGAATGGTAAACAAAGCGTCTAGCAGTAAGTACCGGATTTTGCAAGA